GTGGTATTAACATTATTCACATGACTTCAAAACTATAAAGTTATAAGGATCAATGAGAGGAATATAATACATAAGGTGAACTGTATTGTTTTCTATAGAGATTACTCTATCAAGAATAAAAGAGCTTGTATTAGTATTTTAACCAACAATAATGTTTGATGTTTTTGAGGTAAAGGAAGGCTGGCAAATATTATATCCATAGCAAAATTTATGATTGTATAAATATGTTAGTGACAGAGTCCTATCTGCATTTGGTTTTAAAATTTGTTTTACTAACAGACACTATTTTAGAGTTTTAAATAAATGAACATCAAGTCGTGAAATATTGTAGAAGTCTTTATAAGTAAATATGAAATTGTCTCTATAATTGACCAGTTATTCAACATAAAGTAATGAGCAGGTTTTAAGAGAAATAGCATGCTTTCTATATTCTGAAGTGATAAGATCAAAAATAGGTATGCAGCCGTCAGTTATAATATTCTAAAGAGAGTTAAAAATAATAAGTTTGATGTTAAGTTTATTAAGAGCACTCAAAAGTGAGGGGAGCTAATCATCTGATGTTAAAGAAGTTTTAAAAGGCTAATAGGATAAGGATTGTTGAAAAAAACTATGCTTGGTTTTGTAATTGAAGCGAGCAAATATAGAAGGTCTTACCCAAGACATTAACTTCATTTGATATTTGAAGTAAAAATATTGCTAAAATTTTATAACAGACGTTGAAACAAAGAAGTCAAATTATAAAAATAATTTAAATAAAAAATATCTGACAGTGTGTATTTGAAAAGTTTTAATTTTTATTTAGCGAAGACTAAATATATGGTAATAATCTTTTTGCATTATAACTCAGAAGGTAATATAAGTTGAAACCTATATTCAATTTGAGGTAAAATGACTATGTTGAAAATGTACACAAGTGTGAATCTGTAAGTCTTGCATTCTTCATAATTATAATGACTTTTTTAATTTTATCATGAGATTGGGTGTTGATGAATTTTCAGTTTAGTAGAAGCGAAATTTAAACACTTAGATATCAAATACTTTTTCTAGGGCTGTAAGGCATAATAGTCTAAAGATCTTTATTATGTTAGATATTAAAAGGGATTACTTGGGATATTGACTAATAGTTCTGACTTGGCCTAATTGATATGAATGTTATTAAAAATGAAAAAACTGTTAGCAATTGTAATGATGCCTGTTAAATCTGCTTTAGAGTTTGCAATTCATAGAGTATCATTCATGAAGATAAGAGTAGAAATTCATTGTTTAATAATTATTATATTACAGGTGTAAATATCTAGTTTCCATTGAGCTTGCATGCTATATCCATACTGTGATTCGTTGATTTTGCAAAAAAGTAGGTTATAGTATATATACCAAAGTAAGGGTGATATGACTTCATCTTGATCAATATCTGAATAGGCTAAATAAGTATTAGTATTGCCATGTATAGTGAAAATTTGATTGAATCTGAAAAGAAAAAATCTTCATTATGATACGAATAAAGGAGAAAGGAATCTTAAATCTTTTTAAAGCTTTTATTAATATGAAGATGCTAACACAATCATATGCCTTAGACATATCTTGTAAAAGGATTCAAAGGTTAGATTTATTGAAGAGAATCTTGAATGATGTTATCAATTATATATATTAGATCAAAAGTTGATTTAAAGGAAAGGCCTGCAAAATTATGTTTCTTTAGTATATTATGTTAGATAAAAATCTTGGCTAAATGGTCATTGAGTAGTTTAATAAACACTTTTTAAGTAAAGTGATGAGTCTAGTATTGTTAAGATTATATTCTCACAATTTTGGCTTTGAAATGAGGTAAATGTAACCTAAATTCTAACATGTGGGGATTGATGAGATTTGCAAACATTCACAAATAATATACCAGAAAATCTTTTTAGCTGATGATCCAAAATGTTTTAACATCTCATTAAAGATTTTAGATAGATCTAAGGCTTTATTAGTTGCAAGATGATTGATAATTTGGTACTATTTATCAGCTGTAGGAGGAGCAGTTAATTGTTCATAAATTTGAGGATCAATATCTGCCAAAGGTTGGTAAGCTAATACCTATTCATCAGGTAGTTATGATTCTGTGAAATATTTTAGTGATATTTTAAAAGTGGCGAGCAACCCCCTTTTTAACATTTGAAGCATTTATGAGTAGGTCTTTGATCAGAGCTGAATTATCAATATATCTATTTAAGAAAATAAAAATTCATTTTCGTTTGAGAATAGAATCAATCATTCTTAAAAGATTATTAGTAAAATTATCAATTTTTTAATCTAAAGCTTGTTGAATGCTTTTTATTTTGAATTCTTGTTTATAGATTTTAGCTTTAGCTTAAAGACTTAAAAGTAATAAGTTAATATCTAATCCTATAAAAATACATTGTTCATAAATTGTATAGTATTTTGAACATATTTTATTCAAAAAATCCAGTATTTATTAGTAATTTAAACATAAATTTATTGTGCTTAATTTTAAGTATACATAAATTGTATATTAAATATCAACACATTTTAACTAATATATAAAAATAATACATAATATGGTTAATTAATATATTCAGTCATAAAATAAACATTGTTAAATAAATACTAACATTAAAAATTCTATAAGTCATATTCAGTGCAATCCAATTTCTCATCAAATTCCTTATCTATTACATAATAAGTATTTTTAAGTTGAAAAAAAAATCCACACAACGATCTATAGTGAATACATCAATAAATTTATGTGCACCATATTTTTTAAATGAAATAAGTCCTATATTATCCTCTATGATATTAGCAGCCCAATGAATATATGCTAATATATAAGTCTGTTCTTCAAATTCATAGACCATATAATATTTAACTTGACCATAAAAATTTTGTAATATATATTCAGGTATTTTTCGGAAAAATGAAACCCACTTATCCACTTCCATAATTGCCTATAAATATTATTAAATAAAAAATAAATAAATATACATTGCCAAGTCTTGTACGAATTAGTAACATATCAATATTGAGTAATTAACGCGAGACCAATCATCATTTCGTCTTATCCATTTTGATCCAATTTGATGACCTTCATTTGTACGTAAACATCCATATTTTATACCTAATGAAGAAAAAGACTACATAATATTATATCAAATACTAGTAAGACAAATGATCATTTTGTCGATCTATTTATAGGATTCCGTAATCAAATGCATAAAAATTAAAACTTACATTCAATTTTTGACTTCTGACATTGTGAGATACAGAAAAATGTTCTTTGATCTTCCTTAACTCTGACTGACTAAGAGTATGTTTTTTTAAAGGAAAATATAACTCCTCTTCGGTATTAGATTGAGAATATACAAGATGATTTAGATAATGTTTGGATATTTGAGAAGGAAAAATAGTCTCATATGCAACTTGGTAATATTGTAGATGGTTAAATATTTCCTATATATATACATTATTAATTATATTTTTATAAGGATATAATCATGATCAGGCCAAAGGAAGCAACATTCCACAAATCTTCTTCATAGGAAATTGCCATGTAGTCCAACATAGACTCATATTTTCTATGCTATCGGCGATATGTAAAAGATAATGAAAGCATAATTTCATTATACTTAATCGCCACTCTAAATTTCGATAATATTCTCTTAAAATAAAAGTGTAAATACAGTCATATACTTTAATTAAGGCGATATTAAAAAAATTTGTATAAGTTTAAATTGATAATACCACTTACTTTTCATAATAATCATAAAAGGATCGAAATAGAGACTGAATATCACTAATATCTTTAAATGTCAATGATAATTTTTGACACAGACGTACGGCTTTAACAAAATTCGCCCATCCTTCATAATATCTTTGTGGCATTTTACTTTTCAATAGAGGTAATAAATACATAGTAATCTAGGCAGCCCACTCTTCGGCTTTATATCCTTTATAATATAACACAATATTACGAGGTAGGCATTCAAGATAGACTGAAAGGCTTTTTCGAGCATAATGCATCTTATTACCAATTGTATTTCAAACATTCTGACTAAGAACATAGTCACCAATGTCTTGACTACTATCATTACTAAAAAATATTTCTGTCTACAATTTAAACATATAACACGCTATGTTTTCATATATAAGATGCATCAATTGAAAAAGAACTAGGAAAATGAGTCGCTTTAAGATCGAAAAGTATACTATGACCTCTTATTTCTATTAATAAAATCATAAATACATAGTATATATTAAATAAATATAACAAAGTTCAGAAAATATTTGTAATTATATTTATCAAATTCTGTTACCAATTTTTTTCTTTCTTTTTCAGTAATTGATTGGTTTAATTGAAAAATCTGATTCTTAAATTGTCTATGAGTTCGTAAGGGTAAATTATCAGGATCATATTTTTGGTATTCGTTTTCCTTTTTCATAGGTGACGTAGTTGGAAAAAACATATAATTCAAGTAAACACCATGAATATTACAAAAAAGACATCCTTTGTATGAATTATGGCCAGTTAGATACATAAGTTTTGTTAGTCCTGAAGTATTGTCTGACCATGATAAAACATATGTGCATAATAGAAAATATTCTTTTTTTAATCCATCATAGCAATATATTCTGGCTAAAAGCAATATTAGAATATACATTAATTATATACAAAAAAAAAGAAATGAATACTAAAATTAACAAACATTCTAATTCTTTTAGTTCTTTGACTATAGGATACATAAATGAATTAAAGCACTTAGGTTCTTTTAGCCCTGAAATGATTGCTGTTATCAGGAGATGTTCTTTTTTAACGCGTTCTTCAGGATTTAATCATAAGAACTATTCAACAACCTTCTGTCTTTTGTCAAAAATCTGGTAATCATTAATGAATCCTCACAGGTCAAATGATAAGGTATCGGGTTATGACAAGTCATGAGGTATCGGTAACATATCATAAATCCAATATGGCATGATAGACCATATTAAAAATCATGCATATGTCATTAAACTGATATGGCAATGATTTCTATTAACTATATACCGATTTTTTAAAGACATATCATAAAATATTTGAAAAATATACTGAACTTATTAGTAATCCGATAGGTCAATGATATTTATATGATAACAATTTGATATTCATCCGATACTTATAAAGGCATATCAGTAAAATATATTTTATTATTGACCTATCGGTAAGCCATTATGGTAATTTATTAGTAAAAATCACTTACGCGAAAAATAAAGAAAAATAAAGAAAGAAAAGATTTTATGATATATTTATAAACTTTTGGAACAGATGATTATTACACTATTGTTACATAAAAAGAGAGAAAGAGATATTGAATTTTAATTGTTTAATAATTTATATATGAATCTTCTGATTTATCGGAATTACTGACAAATACTCTCTAGGATGTTTTTTGCCAATTTTCATTACTCTGTCAACAAATCGTCCTAGGATGCTGTGAATTGGGATGATACAATCACGACCTAATTCATAAAAAAATCCCTCTTCCACAATTCTATGTTACAAATTTTCAAATTGTCATCGATTTGATAATGAAATCGACTCCTTCGATCATCTATTTGCTTGTACTATCTTACATATGCTAGTGCATGTATCGTTTCACCATCTAGTAATTGTACTGTGTGTTCAAAAAAGAACTGAACTTGGCCAGGATAGGTATCAATTGTATTATCATCGTCTAAGATAAATCGCGATAATATATTTGCCGACCTGATATGTCTTACCGAATATGTTGAACCAATGACTTCAGCTCCTATCCTTAATCTACCAAAATATTTTACTTTTGATAATACTACTCTTGAATCTGATGTTGAATTATGAATATTTGATAATGATACGAAAGAACAATCATATGCGCTTTGATAGTACTTGACCAATAATTCCAACACTTTTAACGGTAAATCTGCTTGTTTTGTTGGTTTAAGTAGTATTTCTGGAAAAGCTTCTGAATCCACTCCTGCTTTATGTTTTACATCTTTTGCTATTGATAAAATTCGAAATACTTTTTCAAATCAAAATCATCATGAGCAGCAAGGCTACCGATTGTTTCTTTAAAAGCAATATAGGACAAGCACTCCGAAAGGTGTTGGTTACCGTTAGCGTATGTTGATAGCTCATCAAGAAAAGAATAACATTAAACAATTTTAAGTAATTCTGGCTCTATATGTCGTTTACTACTATGTAAAAAGCCTGATAGAAAAAAAAATTCTAGTTAAATTTTAGAAATAATAAAAATAATAAAAATATCGGCTCATAATATATTACCTAATAGACCATTCATTCGTTCAAAACTATAACACCAAAATGCATATATCGGGCCGTAGTCAAAAGCGCATTCACATATATGCAAACATAAATACATATTTGGAGTTATTTTTTCTAGTCTATAACTCTTTTCAACCAGCATTACCATAGATAGAAGGCATTGATAGGCTTCTTCTAACCCTGATTTTGAAATAATACGACATACGAGAATGTTGCATGCTCATACAAATAACTTAAGATTTTTCTATTATCATCCGAAAGTAAATTCCATGTGATAGTAGTAGCATAGACAAGCATAAAGGTTTTCCATTAGTCGGCAGTGAATCCCGAAAAACCTTTACCTGTTGTTATTTTATTTGGGATTCTGCCAATATCTGATGGTAAATTCATCTTATTTGCCCGTTCTTGCATGGTTTCCATATGTTTCGATGTTAGTCGACCCTCTTCGATCTATAATCGTATAACAATCCATTTAGCAATGCCTAAAAATAGGCAATGCATAGGATCAACGATGAGGAATCCAACGGGATCGAAATACGGAAGTCGGTATATTTCTGACCAACGTACTAAAGTTTCAGATATATGCTTTTTTCGAGCATCTTCTGTGTTGCAATCCTTCCATAAAGTTGCGTTGTTTTTTACTTCCTCAACATTCCTTTTCATAAACCATTGTTCCATATCATCAAATCCGCCAAAGTTCGGCTGATTTCTGATAGTAAAATCAGCTACTTTTTAGCACCTATGACAAGTCACACGCGCAGATATATGATCGCAAAGTTTTCTTGCGGCTGGAATGTCACACGCGCAACATATTATTGCTGCTCGTATAAATTTGCTGATAGAACTTTCATATGTTTTGTCCAATTTAAAACCTTACCATAGCGCAATAAATTGATCAATTATTAGTGCCAAATAATGATTTAATCAATATAGTTTTGGTTCATTAGGACCTGGAATAATCGCAATAGTAATAATATTTGAAGGTTTAAATCTTTCGCTTCTTGGAAGGTTGCATATAACTGCATATACCACCCTATACTATATTGCGAATTGTCAAAGGGTTGGAACCAATCAAGGTTCAACATGATTCCCAAATGACAATCCGATACCTCATGTCTGAAAAATGATTGATTATTATTCGAATTTTTGAATGTTTTCCAAATTCTCCCGTCGTATATATCTACTAATTCCTGATTATTATTCGGTCGATCTGCACACTTTCTACATGACTCCTCAAATCCTTTCGTATTGTATAATTAACGCAGACTTTGTTTAATATTAGCGATGGGAAAAATTAGCGACGGCCGATATATTATACCTTTGTTCGTAGGTATCTGCTTTGTAATGATATCATTACAAGGGGATCTTAAGCTGGTCATCAGATTATTTGGGTAATCTTGAAACGTACAATGATAGGGTCTATCGGCTGGCAGATCTTTTACCGCATATAATTTGCAGCATTTTTTGCAAGTTGCGTATTCAATTATTTGATCACTGATACCAAATAATTTGCGTGCCATATATAAAGATGTCGGGAACTTTGAATATGAATCTGTATCAATTAAGACCAACAAATATCTCATAAATTTTATAAGAGCATTGGTGGCCGTATCAGACAACCGATTTCTCTCTTGAAATTTAAAGATCCAATATACGATCCACGTAAATCCTTGATTAATATCTGCATTGTGTACATCAAAATCTTTATCATCGTAACCGGATTCTGGCACATCAAAGTCAATATGTTATCCTAGAGAATCGTTATCGTCATTACTAGAATATATGTCTTCATTGACATTTCGGTCTTCATCACTATTATACTGTTCGGTTACAGCCAATGGAAAATCAATTCTACTATGACTAAATTGTGTTTTTTCAGCTTCGTAACAAGAAAATTAAATTATTCTTCACCGCTAGAATCATTATTTTCACTATCAACACCATCGATATCTACATCCACAGAATCATCTGAAACATTTATTTGGTTTGCACCTTCCTCGACCACTATATTAGAAGATTCCCCTCTTATTGGTAATTCTCTTTTTCTCATATGCGATTCTTTTATACATGGATCAACTTTACGACCTTTACATAAATTACAATCGCATGTCACATGTCGTCTTGTACTTGATTTAGGAGTACCGGGAGTTTTTGTATAATGCATCTTTTTCGAAGGTTCGGACGTATCCTTTACAAAAGATTTTTTCAATTTACGTCTGACCATTGTAATTATTATTGTAAACTAAAGTTTAACGAAACTTTTAATAACTTTAAGTTTATTTATAAAAAATCAAGTTTATTTATAAAAGTAAAATCAATTAATTGAACTAAAATATATTAAATATCTTAATAATAAAATCAGTCACGAACTAATTATTTCAACGCGTAATACACATAATAATAAGAAATGTAAAATTTTCTCACGTTATACAAGATGAAGTATATAAAGGTGCGATTTGCCTATGATTATTTCTTCGCGACTTTTTTTTAAAAAAAAATTGCAATACTAAAAACTTCTATCTGATTCTGTGAACTCATTTATTCTAATAAATAAAAAATATACCGTACATTACGAAATTTAAAAGAGTGAAAAATACTAATTTTCGCTTATATAAAAGAAAAATTATTATTTAACGTTTATTAACTTCAATACTATGCGTCAAAAGCCTTTTCAAATCACAACAACCCCAAAAAGACGTTCTGTATCTCGCCGTAGCGATGAAGGAAGGTACCACGGGCGCAGTTCAGAATGCCAGGACCATCGTAGTTCAGAACGCCAAAATTGCCGAATATATGAACACAGCCAAAGTCCTCCATATCGACATAATCGCTCAAGTTTAGATCGTTTTAGCCAAAGTCCTCCGTATTGACATAATCGCTCAAGTTTGGATCGTTTTAGCCAAAGTTTTAGCCCGCATCACGGCCGAAGTTTAGAACACTGTGGTAGAAGTTCTGGTAAAAGTTCAGAACAAAATGGTATAATATATTGGTTTGATTAATAATGCACGAGATATTTTTGTTAAGTTTATATATTTTACATTTTAACATATATGATAGAACTCACATCAATTCGAAATACCCTCGACTATCTAGTCAAGGAAGTTAAAAATTTAAAAGCCAATTTGCAGTTCTCTAGATCCTCTCAATCCTCGCTAAGAGCCGTTTCGGTAATACCAGTACCACCTGGTGGTTATGATTCAAGACGTATTCCACTCGAGAAAATGAATAACGAACAATTCAAGAATTTTAGGGTATCATGACCTTTTCCAATTTGTATATATTTGTTATGAACTTACTAAATTATCTTTTATTTTTTTTATTCTGTAAATTTAAGACGAAGTCGTACAAATTCTCAGCGGGTTTGATAATTCTCTGTCGATTGACCATACGCAAAAATGGAATGATATTTGTGATCATGTTTTTAAAGACATTATGCCAGCGGTCAATCAAGCCCTAACTGGTAGGATGATTTATAAGCAAATGAAACTTAAATACGTATTGCAAACATTGCATCGCCATCAGCGTGATAGTTGGCAAATCACGCAAGATGAAACAAAACTAAAATTAGACAAAAAATGAAAAGGGACAAACTCACGACGTGCCGATGTATGTATTTTTGTTTTTAGTATATCAGATTGTTTACAGGTCTTAACTTATTTATTATTCAGAAAAAAGAAAGAAGAAAATGAGGCATCACATACATGTACAATGTGAACGATGAAAACTTAGTCTCTTTACGACCCCAAAGTTTACCGGAGGAGACCTTCAAAGAAGATATTGCAGAAATTATTGATAACTCCCACTATCATTCTGATGAAGTATCAGAGACCGACATTGAGAAAGCACGAGAAGAAACTAGAGAAAACATCAGGCCAAAAAATAAGGCTGAATCGGAAAACTTTCATGTAATACGAGTATACGATAAACCCTGGAGATCTAGAAGGGTATGAAAATTATATATTAATTATCTAATCTTTAAATTTGCTCACACGTTATTATTATAGGTCAAGAAAATCCTTTGTCAGGCCGATCATGTTGGATCCAGCATCCAGCACATAAAAGTCCATCGCAAAAATGGTTTGACGATAGTGTTCATAAAGATAATTCAAAACCGCCGGAAGATGCTCCGTATTAGACAATATCGTCAACTTATCAGATGGAGAAGGAAGAAATATTTTGAGATCCAGATCCGGGGCCAGAGGGAGATGAAGATGAAGAAGACGAAGAACAACGGCAAAAAGAATATGAAGAACGAAAGCAAAAGGAATATGAAGAACGAAGGCGAAAGGAATACGAAGAACAAATGAAAAAAGAAAAACAAAGGCAAAAGGAAGAAGAACGAAGGCAAAAGGAAGAAGAATGAAGGCAAAAAGAAGAAGAACGAAGGGAAAAAGAAGCGGAGGAACCTAATAAAAAGGAATTAAATAGAAGGAAAATGGAGGAAGAAGTAAACAGAAGGGTAGAAGAAGAATTAAATAAAAGATTAAAAAAGAGCAATAAAGAAAAGCAAAGAAAGTAAAAGGAAATTAGCATATATAATATATAAATGATAAATGTATTTCAATATATTTTTATTTAGCGTAATTATATTTTGAATTTTGTATATTGTATATATAAATTGATATACCGATAATAAATATAGTATTATTGAAATATCAGAATATAATATGAGATATCATAATATAATACATAATACATCATTGAGGTATTGGGATACCAATATGTATATAATATTTATATGATATTTATATGATATGTAATAACCCGATTAGCATATTATATCAAATTATACCTTCCAAACATTGGTGAGGTATCGGAAATGCAGATCATTGGCATATCAGATTACTATACATAATATATCATACAGATATCGGGTATATGATATTTGACTGATACCTTATCATTCGACCAGTGCCTATCAATGCAATATCTCTATCGTCTTCGAAATATCTATCGGATAATAGTTTTTGGTATCTGACGCTATCAAATATATCACCGATTTTACCATCTGATCCAAAGGCTATCTGATGTCGAGGAAGTCTTTTTCCCATTGAATGTTCAGTTTGGAATCTCGACATATGACAATACTCATATAATTCATCATATTTGTATTTTCCTGTATACACATAGCAAGAATTAATACAGATATCCACCCATGTAGGCTCTATTGAAATAATTGATTGTAGTATTCGTCTGACTTGAAATAAACTGACATTATTACCATTAACTGCTATCATAGTTTGTCAAAATGCATCGTCCGTCAAATTACAATGAGACTTAACCTGGAATAACCTTATAGTCAATGCCAATGCCAATACCAAAAAAAAGCCAAAGCCAATGCCACTATCAAAGCCAGTGTCACCACCAAAGATAGTGCAACCACCACTATCAATGTTACCACCAGTACTAAAGCTAATACCAGCACTAATGCCAATATCAAAAAAAAAGCTGATATCATTGTCAAAGTCAAAGCTAAAAAAAAAGCCAATACTATCACCACTAAAGCCAGCGTCAGCGAATGTCAATGCCAATACCAAATGCCAATGCCAAATGCTATCAGCATCAAAGATACCAGCACTAAAAATGCTAGCACCAAAGTCAATGCCAATGTCAAAAAATAAAAAAAAAAAGGTCAATGTTATCGTAAAAGCCAATGCTAATGCCAATGTCATTGCCATTATCACTATTACTAAAAACTAATGCTTATTTTTTTTTTTATTTTTTTTTTTACTATATTACTACCAATTTTCTGCAGCTTAATTTTTATTTTACGTGTTGCCAAATTAAATAATTTTCAATATGTAAATTTTTTTGATAGGAGGGTCAAAAAAATTTTTTTTTAGAAAATTTTTTGATGGGAGAGTCAAAATTTTTTCTTTTCGAAAATACATTTTTTTATGGGTTTTAAAAAAAAATTTATTTTTTAATTATTATCTAATAAATAAATATATAT